ATTATACGAGGCTTGGGAGCGATACAAAGGGTTAATAATTTTTTTCCCCCAAAACGAGTTATACAAGCAACAAGAGTTCTCAATCTTCTACGATGGGGTGAATGTCACGACAAGGCAACTCCTTGATTCTCAAGGGCCTTTAACAAAGAAAAATCCTGCCAAAATTAAAGAATTAATTGCAGAGTTTTCAAAGCGTTCATGGATATATCAGAACCCTCGTAATGATGGTGCTAGGGGGATCGAGAATAGTGCCTCAGAAGACATGGCAGCAATATTAGCAATATTAAGTAGCATGGATAGAAGAATGACAAAGATGGACCAATCCATACATGCGATATGTGTGGGTTGTGGAAATAGTAATAGTCCATACTTGATGAAAGATTGCCATCTAGATGAAAATGGGAATAGGAAAGCTCAAGTGTACTACTCAAGTGGAGATCGCTACGATGAAGATTGGAGGAAGCCGAAAAAGGAATGGTTGACTTATGATGATTATAAAAAGCAAAAAAGAAGAGAAGTATAGGAAAACAATCTGGTACTTTTTCCAAGAGGAACAACCACAACCTGAGAAAAAAGTGGACATGGAGTTAATTCTTCATAGATTTATGGAGGCTTCTGAAAAACGTCACGATGTAGCTGGTGATACCATGAGAGATCATCAAGCATCCATCAAGAATATTGAAGCCCAACTTAGGCAATTAATTAGATTGGTTAATGAGTAGTTACCTCCACGAATACCCGATAACAAACCGCAACCACATGTCATGGCCATCACTACTAAAGAAGACACTATTTTCGAGCTCTTAAAGGCCTTGGAGGATGAGACAAAGCAGCCCGAATCATAACCCAAGCGAATGAAAGTTGAAAAAAGAATGTTGCTAAATTACCGACATCACAACATGAGGATTTAATCCTTACGAAGTGGGCTCATTTTGTGCCAATTTTTTTTTTCTGGAGGTCAATTTTATCAACCTCCTTTACTATTTCCTTCTGGAGCTGAAGTTTTCGCACTGGAGCAAGAACATATCAAATTTATGAAGCAAGTAAAGCGTAATCCTGTCAATACTCCTTTTATTGAATCCTTGGCAAAAGTTCCCGAATATGCCAAATTTCTTCAAGACATACTTGACACTCGACAATAACTAGAAAAGACCTCTAAGGTAGTCCTTAGTGAGTAAGGTTATATGGTTATTATGAAGGGGATACCAAGGAAGATGGGATATCCTGGACGCCTTACACTTCTACATGAATTCGGAAACAACATGAAGACATATGCTTTAGCCGATTCTGGAGCGAGTATACACTTAATTCCTTATTCATTTTATCAAAACCTCAACCTTCTAGAATTGAAGGTTACTAGAATGACAATTCATATGGCCAACGTTCACTGATTCATCCTCGAGGTATAATTGGTGACATTTTGGTAAAAATTGGAAAATTTTATATTTCCAATAGATTTTGTGGTGCTAGACATGATGGACGATAAAGATGTCCCAATTATCCTTGGACACACTCTACTAAATACTGCACGGGCCTTGGTAGATGCGAGTTAAAGCTTACCTTATGAGAGGGGAATGATGAAATGAGTTTTGGAGTGGAAGACCGATTCAAGACAGATTATGCTCAAAATGAAGTATTTTAAATGGATGAAGAAAACTATCTTGAGGAGTTAGAGAAATTGATGGAAGAAGAAATTCAAATAATTGAACAAGTCAAGCATACTAATCCTAGATCTTCAATTCGAATGGTTTTTGAGGTATTTTCTTTTAAAACTCCAAAGTCTTTAGTTAGTGAGAAAAGTGAAGAAAGTTTGGTGTTAAGTGATGAAGATGAAGAAATTACGTAATACTTGAGCAAGCCAACTTTGGATAAGGAGGATATCGAAACTAAGAAGATACAAAAAGAAAAAGGAGGACCTGAACTTTTTGTGAAGAATAAAAGGGTGAAACGAAAGCTCGAGGAATGATTCTAAAAAAAAAGGAGAATTCTAAAAAAGCTTATTTAAGAAGGGTGTAAGTGTAAAAGAAATGATGGAGGGAACAAAAGGTGCAAATGGTGATTGAATATCCAAACAATACACCGTAGGGCTGCACGGAGTCCGAATCATGACTCCATAAAAAAGTGCTTCTCCGGAGAAACCTGAGCTCCGTTTGCGTGTCTCTTTTCATTTTTCTTTTGGTTTTTGCATTTTTAATTTTTGCATTTGTATTTGAGTTTTAGGGGTAAATCATCATCATAGTCATCTTAATTTTTAGAAATATAAAAAAAATAAAGTGAGGGGTTAAATTTTAGGAGTGGTTGAACTGTTTTTAGAAAAATGGTATTTTTGGGGAAAAAACCTCAACACAACGACGTGGGAATAGGCCTACGATGTGGTCAAATAATTTGTCCTGTTTTTTTACCACGTTTTAAAATCCACGACATGAGGTTAATCCTCAAGACGTGGACTATAAAAACACATGAGAGGGGGCGGGGGGACTAGTTAAACTTAGCTAACTTCAACTTTTGACTATCCTTTTCAACCCTTGCACGAACGGAAGAACTCAGCCCCACACTTTGGTTTTCTGTCGTGTTTCTTCAAGTATTTCATTATTTTGTGTTTAATCTCCGATTTTGGTAAGATCTCCATCCTCTAATTGTGTTAATTTCATCTATGTTTAGGCATTTAGAGTTAGGGTTTGTGTTGAAGCCTAATTGTCAAAATTAACTCAATGTTATGCATTTTAGATGCTGCATGTTACTTGAAAGTAACATGAGGTTGAACTGTTTTTAGAAAAATGGTATTTTTGGGGAAAAAACCTCGACACAACGACGTGGGAATAGGCCTACGATGTGGTCAAATAATTTGTCCTGTTTTTTTACCACGTTTTAAAATCCACGACATGAGGTTAATCCTCAAGATGTGGACTATAAAAACACATGAGAGGGTGGCGGGGGGACTAGTTAAACTTAGCTAACTTCAACTTTTGACTATCCTTTTCAACCCTTGCACGAACGGAAGAACTCAGCCCCACACTTTGGTTTTCTGTCGTGTTTCTTCAAGTATTTCATTATTTTGTGTTTAATCTCCTATTTTGGTAAGATCTCCATCCTCTAATTGTGTTAATTTCATCTATGTTTAGGCATTTAGAGTTAGGGTTTGTGTTGAAGCCTAATTATCAAAATTAACTCAATGTTATGCATTTTAGATGCTGCATGTTACTTGAAAGTACATAGAATCTCTACTTAAATAAACATAAAACTCGGATTTGAGTTCAAGTAACTCTGAAAATGGCCGACAAATTAATTGATCTCAAATTGACTTCACGGCGTGGTCTTCGTGACCACGACGTAAAAACTGGGCTGTCATTTTTTCTATTTCGTTTTAATTTCTTAAGTGGTTGGTGATTTTTTTTTGGTTTTCTTGCTGTTAATATTTGAGGTACCATGATGCCAAGGCGTGCAATTCCTAAGTAACAAGGGCATATTGATGTTCATGGTGTGCATCCGATAAATCAATTTCCACAAGATATTTCACAACCTATGTTCAACAATTATTCAAATAAAATGGGTTGGTTATGTAATTGGGAGTTCGCGTTAGCACAAATGATCAATTGGTTTTGGCTGAGTGGGGTTGGCATGATAACAGAAGTGGAGCGATATTGGACAAGGCTATTTGTAGAAGACGGTTTCACTTTTCAATGCAACAGGTGGTTTAATTTATTTTGCACTCAAGAACTCCATTGAGTTTTTTTGCCACAATCACTTTTAAAGAACAGAAAACCGACCCGACTTTCAACTGGGGCCTTGCATTTAGATTGGGAGGTGTTTATCTAGAATGTAGTTTGCGGGAGTTTGCTTGGCAAATGGGGTTATATATAGATGCGGAAACAGAATCACCAGATTTTATGTTATTTTTTCACGGTTGTGTTCGAGACTTCAACACAGGATTTCTTGATGTATAGTTTTGGACATCCATTTCTAATTACGAGTATATTTCGTGTAACGCTAGTGAAGGACAAATTCGGCCATCCATCTATTGGTTCTTACATCGCTTTATTACCTTCAATATTGAAAGATCGATTAGATTCAAAACAGATTGAAAACAAGAACAAGAACAAGAACAAGCCAATGATTCAAAATATTCTTAATGATTATAAGCCATAGCCTCAGAAGAACTCGATTAAGAATTGCTAATGTAGAGGCGTGATTAGGGTTACAAGAATATTGCCAAAGTTTTCAAAACTCGGTGCGTGCATGCACCTTAAATACTAAAACCCTAATAAATTATAGGTGGAAACGCCCAAGCCCATTTACATAAATAAACTATTAAACAAGACATAATGACGCAACTCTAATTCCCAACAATCTCCCTTTTTGCGCCGATTGAGGCGAGAGGCTCTTCACTGCCGTGTCTTCTTTGTAGTCTTCAAGAGCTTGGGAATGACTGCGAGAAGGTGCATGCGAAATATAATGTACCATCTTATCGTATTAGAGTAAACCTTCTTTGCATCTTTGTCATTCATTTGACATTAACATATGATCTCCAAAATGAACTCCAAGCGTGTTGTAGAGAACAATTGCTTATTAGGCAATGTGAAGATGCACTTTTGTACATTATCGAGTGGACCACGATGTAACATTACGTTCTAGTTTTCCATTTTAATCTTACCCATCTGCATCTGATTAATCTCTTTCATTTTTCCAGTAAGGGGAGCAGTGGGTTTCCTCTCCAAAATGGTGGCAATCTCAATATAAAACTTCGCCACTTCATAAATGTACGAAATCAACTGTCGTTTTATATGCCCCAGAATGGGTTCGTATTTCTTTTCTCTCAAAAGAAAATTCAATAAAATGATCCAATTATAGGGATTAATACATGGCAGATCAGCCAAGGAAAACTCATGAACAACACTTTCGGATCCTCTTGTTGTTTTGAATTTGACGTTCGCGGAGCTCCCTGTTTCAATTGGCCATATGACCTTCACAACTGTAATCTTTTGTGCAATCTAAGTGAGGTACTAAGGCTTGGCATGGGATATGTAAAACTCCATTAAAGAATTATCAACATTCTCATCTGTTGCAGGAGCATTTGCAATTACGTCAAAACTACGAAAGAGGAATGCTCGCGGAGTGATAGGCATGTCAAATTGAGAAATCTGCGAATTCTCCAAATCAAAAGAGGTTATAGGTTCTAACCAATTCATGCTTTGATTTTCAATAGCCTCATTAATCATGCGCTCCAAGGTCCATGGTGGAAACAAAGTCTTTCGACTTTCCAAAGTGACGTGAGCTTCGTTCTATGCTCACTCTTTCGCTTCAGCTTCCCAATTGAGACTTTGATGTTCATCCATTTCAGCCTCTTGAGCCTTTCGTCTTTTGACCTCGTTTTCATCCGACTCTTCTACTTCACTATTATCGACAATGGGCTCATCACTTAAAATTTTTTCTTTTCCTTTTGAACCCAAAGCTACATTATCCTTCGCTTCATTGGATACTTTGGGTTTTTGCTCATCATTACCAAATGTACTAGTATTGGTCTTCAAAGGTTGCTGAGGTTCTTTTGATGATGATCCCCCTTGTTTTGGAAAGACAGGGGACTCCAAAACACTGTCAATTCATAAATGGGTGATGAATTTTGGGTTACACTCAGTTTGTGGTTGTACGAAACTAAGATCATTAACACAGATGTCGTGTAACCATAAACCTCAGTGGTAATTTCTGAGAGTCTCAAGGGTTACGATTATGAAACCGAAAGTAATGGAGAAAAGTATGAGGTGGTTCCAAAGAAGATAGCGTACCTCTCCTTTGCAAAAATTACCAAGCAACTAACTCATTATTCAACGTGAGAAGAGTAAGGTAGCACATGACTTATTTGAATTCGTAGCTTAATTAGGAAGAAACTATAGGTACTATCGATTCATTAAGGCTTCAACATAAAGTCATCAAGGCTTTAGACAACATGCAACAACATACTTCTAGGGACACTTAGCTAGTACATAGATAAAGAGTTTTATAGTTGTCCTGTCATTCTTGTTTGAAAAGTGAAGATTTTGCCTTCCAATCTACACAAATATTTAACGAAAGAAATATAAAATAAATATTTTTGAATTTTGAGTTTTTCTGAAAAAGAAATAAAAATAAAAAGAAGTAAAATGTGTTTGTATTTGATATTCTTGAAAATATATAATAAAAGCAAAATAAAACAAAACCATTAAATAAATAAAACATAAAAACAGAATAATTAAAAAATATATAATAATAAATATACATAATGTACAAAAGGATATAAAATGCTCCAAACCACGAACAGAAAATTGATCATGAGATATGTAGAACTTTTGCATGAAGTCACAGTATAAACAAGGGTTGCGAATTATTACGAGCGTTCACACCGATTTGCGGAACAAAAGAAGACTGCAAATTACTGCGAGCCTTTGAACCAATTCGCATGACATGCTCTAGACTGCGAGTGCGAAATTAAAACAAAAAATGAAAGTGTCATTATTAAAGCGAAAGTGTTTTTTCAAACAGATTCAACTTCTATCATTCCCAAGCCTTAAAGGATTATATTAAAGGTTGTTTCAGGCAAGGCTTTTTTGAATATGTCAGCTAACTGATCAACAGATCTTAAGAAGTGTATTTCAACATTACCTTCTACCACATGATCATTGATAAAATGATACCTCTGTGCTATGTGCTTCGTTTTTTACTGTTGCATTGGATTGTGACAAATGAAAATGACACTTTCGGAGTCACAATATAAGGGGATTCATTTCTTATTCATACCATTGTCATGAAGTTGGCTTTTAAATCCAAATGACTTGTGAAGTGCATGATGCTGTAGCTATGTACTCTGCTTCAGCAGTTGAGAGGGATACACAAGTTTTCTTTTTCGACTGCCAACTAATGAGATTTCCATCTAAGAATTGCGAACGTCCTATTGTACTCTTTCTATCTAGGTCACTCCCTCCCAGATCAATATGCGAAAATGCTTGTACGAAGAAACCTGAGCTTGGTGGATACGATAAACCAAGTGAGAACGTTCGTTTTAGGTACCTGAAAATGTTCTTGATAGCTACCATGTCGGGTTTTCGAGGATTCGCTTGGAACCTAGCACTATAACAAACGGGAAACATAATGTCTAGTCGACTAGCTGTTAAATACATCAATTTACTTTTCATCTAACGATAAAGGGTTATATCAGCAGCTGGTTGTTCTAGAGATGGTGTTAGTTTCGTTACGAATGCCATTGGAACCTTCGTTTTTGAGCCACCCGCCATTCTAAACTTAGCGTACAGGGTCTTCATGTATGCCTCGGGATTTATAAATATACCTTCGTGGCTTTGTCTTATGTTTAATCCATGGAAAAAGTTAATTGGACCCATTGAACTCATTTGAAATTTCGTTTCTATTAGCTTTCAAAATGCAGTTGTTAAGATGGGGTTAGTTGATTCGAAGATAATTTCATCAATGTTAATTTTGACAGTCATTAAGTGGCCACCCTCTATCTTGCGAAAGAAGGTTGGGTTAATCGAACCTTGTTTAAATTTGGACATTTTAAGAAACGAGTGAGAGTTTCATACCAGGCCCTTGGAGCTTGTTTAAGACCATAAACTGCTTTGTCTAGAATGTAATAGTGAATAGGATACTTCTCGCTTTTGAAGCCACATGGTTTCTCCACATATACTGTCTCTTCAAGTTCCCCGTTCAGGAATGCACATTTGATGTCCATCTGATATACTTCAAAATTCTTATGTGCCACATAAGCCCAAAAGATACAAATAGATTCTAGCCTAGCAACAGGTGAGAAGGTCTCTTCGTAGTCAATACCTTCTTCTTGACAATACCCCTTTACAACTAATCGTGTTTTGTTTCGTATAACGTTTCCCTCTTTATCAACCTTGTTGTGAAACACCCACTTTTACCCTACAACTGATGCATCATTTAGAGTAGGAATCAGTCTCCATAATTTGTTTTGTTCGAATTCATTGAGCTTCTCCTGCATCTCTTGTACCCAATCCGAATGAGCCGGAGCAATCTGAACATTTTTGGGTTCAACTTTGAAGATGAACAAATTAACATGCAATATTCTACTTTGGAGAATAAAGAAATTCGTTTCGCCTTTTGTTGTGCTCTCGTAATAACTCCTAAAGACGATTCACCTATAACCAGCATTTTTTGATGATCTCTAGTCCATTTAGTCAGAGGAGGATAATTAGGATCATAAGAAGGATCCAATTCTATGTTTATGTCCTTAAATTCTGACTATATATCCGAATCATCATTATATACATTTGAATCATCATTCGTATTATCTTTCTCCCCCTCGAATGATGTGAATGCCTCTTCTTCAAGTGTTGGATTCTCCCCCTGGGGTGGACTTCCATGAGTCTCTTGTGGAGTATAGTGCTCCCCCTGAAAAGTTTCATTGAAAGGTGATTCAGAATTCTCCCCCTCGAATGTAGCATTCGTGTCATGTGGGATATTCTCACATGGTGGCTCTTTGTGCATATCATTCACAACATCGTCAATTATCTTCTTCAATTCATCGATCTTGTTGTTGGCCGCTTTGGATTTGGAAGAGATAGCCTTCTCTAGCTCATCAAATAGTAGCATGAATTCTTTGTAGAGATTGGATGGTGGAATCATAGCTGGTCTTGGCTTAGGAAAGATCTCTTTTGATTGACTGTTATGCGCTTTTCTCCTCTTTAAATAGTTTTCATCGAACTTGACATAATAGGTTTCTTATATATGTTTTGATCGTTTGTTGAGAACCCTATATGCCGTAGATGTTAGGGAATACCCCAAAATGATACCTTCAACAACTTTCACATTGAATTTATTCCTTTGTTCTTTAGAATTAAAGATGAAGCACCTGGAACCAAAAACATGTAAAAACTTTACGTTAGGTTTTCATTTGTTTATGATTTCATACAGAGTGATAGAAAATTGTTTATTGAGAATTGAACGGTTTTGAGTGAAACAAGTTTTCCCAATCGCATCACCCCAGAAATATAGTGGCAGATTCGCAAATGAGAGCATGGTTCTTGCAGCCTCACACAATGATCGATTTTGCCTTTCAACGACTCCGTATTATTGTGGAGTGTATGGAGTCGAAAAGTTAAGCGAAACTCCTTTCTCAGTTAGAAATTCTTCAAACTCCTAGTTTTTGAATACGAACGCATTGTCACTGCGAATATTGTGAACTAGCTATCACAGTTGTAATTCAATCTGCTTTATGAAGTCTTTGAGCTTGAGAGTGGCTTCATATTTCTATTTAAGAAAATAAACCCAAGTGAAACGAGAAAAATCATCCACAATAACAAGAATATACTTATTACCACCAACACTTTCGATTACAGAAGGACCACAGAGATCGATGTGCAAAAGTTCGAGTGGCTCAATGAATTTCGTATTCACTATAGTTGGATGACTTTTCATTCTATGCTTCCCCATTTCTCATGCTGCTCAAAGTTGATCCTTGTCGTATTTTAAGAGAGGAAACCCTCGCACCTGATCACCAAGAACAAGCTTGTTGATATTATTGAAGTTAAGATGCGAAAGTCTACTATGCCATAGCAAACTATCGTTTGTAGGAGCTTTCTTTAGAAGGAAAATGGTTGGCTTCCCTCGTATCAGATTTAAGTTCAATGGACATATCTCGCCTTTGTGTTTAGACTTTAGAAGGCCCGCTTTGGTTTTCTTTTACATGATCTCTGAACCTTCTTCGTCAAATGAGACATTTAATCCTATGCCAACGACCAACTACGAAACACTTATAAGATTGTGTTGCAGACCCTCAACATACGCAACTTTATGAATTGAGAATTCACCATTTGTTATCATCCCGTAACCTTTAATCTCTCCAAGTGAGTTATTCCCAAAATTCACTATTCCACCATTTTTCAGTTCTCTATACTCTCGCAGTTCCTCCTTTCTTCCTGTCATGTGATGCGAACAGCCACTGTCGATATACCATTTAGTGTCAAACTGTTCATCACGAATTAGATGCAAAAATTAAGCAGATTTAGGAACCCACAGTTGTTTGGGTCCTTGTGATGTATAACTTATAATGCAATTTGTCATTCCATTCCATTAGTCAAAACATACATCTTTTTTTTTTCATTTCCAATGGAATGAACAGTTCCATTCCTCCAATTCCACATAGGAAAGATTGCCTTATAAGAATAATAAAGTGATCATACTTGATAGTACAAGACATGAAAAACTTCTTCCCCTATTGTAGAACCATTATCGGATCGATACACATTCCCTATTGTCAACCCACGGATAGAGTAATTTATGTCCGTTATTCAGCTTTAAGCTGAAAACCGAAGCTACATTCTTAACTACATTGCATATAAAATAAAACTATATCCTTAATTCAATTTCTATTTTAGTAATAGTTCTTGAAAGTAACAATGATTGTATGATGAAATCATGAAAAACATTATTGTTTCTTAGAGGAGATTCTCTCTTGCTAAGTTGTCTCTTTTTAGACTCTCCACCTTGTTCTCTTCAACCTACAAAAAAATTATATAATCAATAATAATTTCAGGGAACTATTAAGATTACTCATAGGGGTAAAGAATGTAATTACCTGTAGCCTTTTTGTCAATCCCTTTTTTTCTCTTCTTTAAATTCTCTTATATAGTAGTGATCATAAAATAATAACAAAAAAAACCTTTAAAATAAGAATATGTAGAAACTGTTGTTAAGTGACAGTTTTGGCTTATTGGATTTTATACCTTTGCACATAGTTTCTTGATTTGAGATTCTTGAGCTGCTTGTTTCTTTGAGAGTTCATCGCCTAAATGAACAAAGATAAATGCTTTATCATATTGATTATGCACTAAAACTACTAAAACTACTAATGATTACCTTCTGCCATAACTTGAGTGATTATTTTATATTTTTCCTTGAGAAGAGCAGCATCAACACTCTTTTTATTTTTCTATCTACATAGGGTATCTCTTTCTCTTGTGAGAGCATAAACCTGCCAATATAAGGATTTTTTTTATCCATCAACAAGTGATATTTTAAATATTCGATCTTTCTTCTTAAATATTCCTTTCAATGTTGTGAAAAAAAACGTACGATTTTAAAATATATGAATAGAACAGATTACCTTTCTTTTAATAGTGGAGACCTTTTGATGATATTCTTCTCTTAGAGACTCGATTTCAGCTTCATTTAAGTTACTCTGTTAAATACTATGAAAATTGTTTAATAGTGTGAAGAAAATAAGAGTTACAAAAAAGAATCTTAGTTTAACAATTTGTATAAACTTACACCTACCATTTAATCCTTGAGGAGAGAATTCAGTTGTTTATTTTCATTCATCAATTTTTGTGTCCATGATGATGCAGTAGAAAAAAAAAGAGACAGACCCCATAGGATTCACAGGCTATAACATCCATATCTACATTAACCCTACCTCTCCTTGCACA